TGCTAGCCCATTTATATGAGCGACATTAGAGATTAGCATATGAAATTATGTGACTCATTTGTCGCTGAATATGAGTGACGAGCGACACTATGAACACATACCTTTAAGGATAGGTAGGGACAAAGATAATACTCAAAAATTGTGTCCTGCTCACCGATTTTAATGAAATTAAGCTTATTCAACGCGATTTTGCATGAAAAGAAAAAAATCTGGCAAAAAGTGTCACTGTGAGCCAAGATATCAAGCGTTAAAGTTGATAACTATTGAAGTTAGAGAAAATCTGTTACAAAAATAAAATGAGGTCTATAATTGTAGTGTTCCATATTGGGTTTCGACTTTCCACACGACAGCGCGACCGAATGGAAACCGGGGTCTTGTTCCTACTGTTTATTTTTATACTGTGGTATAACCAATAGAAATACTCGCGAAAAAATGTGGATCTGCGCAGATATGGCTGCGCAGTTTTTGTTTTGAGCTGGATCCAATGAAATGCAAGACGACAGTAATGTACATACATGGGTGCGTTCGGATGGTTCTGTTTCATGCATGATGCATTATTACATTATGCATTATTACATATTGCATCCCATATGTATTGTACACAGAGAAGAAGACAGTTTGTGAGAGCTGTTTTAAATATTAAAAAATTGACAAAATAAAGAAAAGTTATGTTACTTGTAGTATTAACCAATGCGGTAATAATGTGATTACTGTGGGAGTTTTCCAGCAAGGGCACAAATCAACAAAAGTCATTCCGTCTTTGTTTCTTACTGATTATTGGACAAAGACAGAATAATTCTTGTGTCAATTTGTATTTCTTGTGTCAATTTGTGTTTCTTGTTGGAAAGCTCCCATTATTACTTATAAAGGTGTCTTTTTATACGACGCTGAAATATTCGTTTTCTAGCGAATCGTGACCATAATTGTTTCCAACGACAACTGAAATCCGTGAAAAGGGTTTACAGCGTCGAATTTTGAGCAACAACTTAACCTATTTTGAATATTATATTTATATATAGTATTTATTTAATATTTATTATTTGTTGTCATGTATCATATATTTTAAATTTTATTTTAATTTCATTGGCTGTAATTTTCCTATTTAAAGCATTTGCTACTTCTTGCCATAAATTTTTTGTAACTTTCATGTTGCGTAGAAATAATCGAAGTTTATAATTCTAAAGAGGCTCTCGTAATTGGACTTTTAAAATGAGAGTTTCTTCATCATTATGATTAAGTTTTGCTTTTAAGCCTTTATCTGAATTTCTTCGTTTCTCACAAGAATTTTATTCAGATAATATTCCTTGTAGGCGTAATAAAATCTAAATATAAAACTTATATACATTAGAAGCAATAAAAAAAGTTTTCACATTATTTTGAAACAATCATCAAGTTTATTACCTATATTTTTCTTGTGTGATTGCGTTGTTTTTTATTTGTATTTAGTATTCTGCTTTTTATTACGGTCATTCTATCATCTGCAAGATATTTTAAATAATATTGTAACATGTATTAAATTAAGTAATAAATAAAAATAAATATTAAATAATCAATATAATAAAATGTTTATCTTTTAATATATAACAATTACAGGAGCTAATTTACTCAATAATAAATAAAAATATAATATATCAAGTTCAGTTATGCAGTGTATAAACAAGCATTCGCGATATCTGCTTACTCGCAGATCGTTTCGCATAACCTGCACGTTTGTATAAGATTGAGGGATTTATCTAGAAAATTATATTAAATTTAATACTACAAATATTTCTAAATTACTTCTAATTTGTTAGTATTGTTATTTCATATTTTAGCTAATTATAATTTTTCCTTGTCCTTGTAAAATTAAGGTTATAATATATGTATTTTTAAGATATATTATTTGGTTTGTACGATATTGAAGATCGCAAAATTTAGAAGATGTAAAAATTTGTAAAAATTACGTATATCAAAGTTCATTTTTTATTTTAAATCGAAATGATTAACAAAGATCTAGCGACGAATAGCTAACTATTAAACAAATTCAACTTCACTTCCTTTGACGCTAAGCAGAATGGTCACATGACGTTTTTTGATGCCGAAAATGAGCGTCGAGCGTCAACATGAAATGGCACCTCTAAAATTGGAAAGTCTTGTGAGATCACTCTTAGGTTTATTCGATGCGTTTTCATATGAAATGAAAAAATTTGGTAAAAAAAAAAGCGTCGCTCTGCTCTGATCCAAGATATTAAGCGTTAAAGTTGATGACTATTGAGGATAGAAAATCTGTCACAGAGGCAAAATGAAGTCTATAATTGTACTGTTCCACATAGTTTAGACTATAATTGTACCATTCGACTGGTTTAGGCCTGATTGCATCAACTTTGATTTTAAATGAAACTTAAAACTCTCTGTCTCGTTTTAAAGCGAAAGAGAGACAAAGACAGAGAGAGTTTTGAGCCTTGCTTAAAGTCAAAGTAACATTGGTGCAACTGGGCTTTAGATTTTCCAGGCGATGCAAAGGGACGCACGATTTTTATAATTATATTATTGCAAAATCGAAACCCACATGCATTTTTTCAGACAGAATATGCTAAAATGAGCCAGAAATTTGATTCGATGCATAGTGGATCCATCATGTTTCGGAGTAACAACAAAATAGCGTAAAAAGTATAAAGTAATTAAGCAGAAACTAAGCTGATGTTCAAGTGAAACGATATGATTAATCGGCACAAGTTACGCTTAGGCAAGTTACCGCATGTGACAGTACCTGCAGGAACAAAATTGTCCCATATGTAAAACAGCGAAATGTCATTGATTTATCGGATCTTTCGATACGCGAATACGCGCGTACGATGTAATGGGACAGTACCTTAAAAGTAAAAATCGGCCAAAGCCCGGCATGATGTTGTAAAACCGAAAATCACATGATCTTGGAAACGCCAAAATATCAACGCCAATTTTGATAAGAATCTTGACAGCAAGCTGGGGGCTAGATTGTGAATTTTAAAAGGAGGTGAAAATTACAAAAATGAACAAAGGTTACTAGGTACTGACCAATTAAATTATGAATACTCTAGTGAATTTGCTCACTTTTATAATTTTCACTTCATTTGAAGATAACCCCTTGCCACTTCTCTTACTCTCATATTCGCTTCTCTCACTCTCATATCCGATTTCACACGCTCTACGATGGTAGAGCCAATCACGGATCGAGTTGGCAAATGCTCTACTTTTAAGATTTCTAGTCGCGCTTCTCTGATAGATCTAGTAGAGAGCCTATAATCAGAGCCATATGAGAGATGACGTCATATTTTAGCGAAATTCTGCGAGAGAGAAAGAGATATATGGTCTCAGTCTATCCAACAAACTCAATTTTAGGGTTAGGTGCAACAGCATTGAACGACATAGATACGTAAAGGTACATTGATAAAAATAAAATTATCGAAATTATTTTAGAAATATGGTTGGATGTACAATACCGTTTTGTAACAATTCATTAAAAAAAAGGATATGTTATGAAAATAATTCTGAAAGACACAGAACGCCGAATGAATTGGTTAAAGAATATAAATGGCAAATATAAAAATTGGACACCGTCAAAAAATTCATCTGTATATGAAGTAAAGTAATTTATTCTTTATAAATAATGTATTTAAAATAAAAATGTAACATAAAATATACACAGATTAATTATAATATCTGAAGACACGGTAGTGTCTTGGCATTAAGTATATGTATAGTCATCACATTGGTACGAATTTAATTCTTTCTCTTTTATTTTTGTCTTTTCAATTATATATCATTGCATTGCAATCTAAATCAAATAATATGATAATTACGATATTTAATATTGGGTCATCTAAAAAGTATCCGCGGTACTTTGTCACTAGATATATGACCATCAACACACATCTAGCGACAAAAAACCGCAGATACTTTTTAGATGACCCAATATAATATTTTATGAAATATATACATATAATATTTTTCTGAATTTTTGATTTTTTTTTATATTATTACAGATGCATTTTGCTCCTAAAATGTAGGAACAGAGAATGAATAATAAACTAGCGCATTTAATAGCGCAAATAATGTGCAATAAATAACGTTTTGTATAAAGTAATGTGCAATATTAAAAAATATACAATATTGCAATAGTACAAAATAAATGGAATTTTATAATAAATAATATATGTAAAAGTTTTATTATTTTATATACAATATTTATTTATTATCATTTTTTAATTTGTCACAATTTTTGAGCATTTTTTAGCATGAAAAATTTAGAAAATAATGCGTTTAAAAAACTGGAAGGAAATGGCTAAAATATGGCGGACCAATCACAAGTGATACCCATATGGCGTCACTCTGATTGTAGGCTCTCTAAGATCTAGGTATCTACGGTATCTCAACTTGTAATAGGGGCGTGGTTTGTCTAAACTTTGAACACACTATGGCTGCGTTCGGTTTGCACGCTTACACGCTTTAAGGTGCAATTTTATGGGCGCGTCATTTGACGCGCGTGTCATGCGTTATTGGAGAAATAACTACATTATAGTGACTTCTAGCATTGTCGCGTTTGACGCGTTTACAGTTGAATTTATCCAACTGCAAAAGTGTTTTGTATTTTATTGCATATTTTGAAAAATCACAGAATGCTAAGAAATGAATTGCTTTTTAATGGGAAACTTTAAGAAAATTGACATACTTCAGGTTAGTAAAAGAAATAAATGTATGGTGAAAAGAATAATGTTGATATTGAGAATTTTAAAGTTTAAGTTTGTAATAAACTAACTTCCGCTACACGGAATAACTTGCATCGTTACAAGTTTATCCCTTACTAAATCTATAACTAATATGTGAAAATACTATTTGATATAAGAATATATTTAGAAGATAACTTAATATTGAGCTTTATATAAACACTCAATATGAACAATGCATGTTTTATTACTGTTATTTACATCGCTTTTAATAGCAACTGATATTTTTTGTATTGTAGCATTGTCGTTGTATATACGTGTAGCATATGTGAAGAAATATGCAATAATTTTGATGCAGTGCGCACATATCCCTGTACGGAAAGCTATGAAAACATGGTTGTAGACAACAACAATTACTTTTATCCTAGATGTAGTAAGTGACAGAATGTGTATGTGTACGTGTGTAAAATAAATAAATTAATGAATTTCTAAATTAATATATTTTTTACTATTGTAATGATCCATTGCTTCACAGGTAATGGAGAAATCGTCCGTCGGAGTGAATAAATGAAATAGAGGCAATAGTAGTAGACAGCCCACCGCTTCCTACAAATATTCATTAGCTTCACAAACCTGTATAGTCACTACAAAGCACTAATGTAAATGAAATACTTATCACTGAGGTGAGAATTGCTATGGAATCAACACATTTCTATAACAAAGCGAGATCGAAGAACGATAGAAAAGTTGTGGGATGAAGTCAGTAAAGCAACAAATAGTATAGGCAGTATTGTCGTAATCGCACAATATTTTCAAGACAGTATTATACAAATTATTATCATGTTACTATTGCAGGAAAATATTCATCTGAAGATACAAAAAGGAAATGGAAGAACCTGCGAGATCGATTTATGCGGATAGTTGCATCCAAGAAGCTGTCAAGTAGTGGTGCAGCAAGTAGCGGAACAAAAAAACAATGGCGATTTTATCAATCACTGCAGTTTCTGCGTGACACGTTTCTTCGAAAAGAGTATAAGTCAAACATGTCAACACCAGCATTCTCGAAAATGTATTTTACATACCAAAATAATTGTTATTGCTATTTCAAAACAGCGAGCAACATGTCAGTTTCCGACGACAACAACAATGAGAAGATAAACATCAAAGTGCTGAATAAGGATGCAGACAGTACGTTTCCATTATTATTTATTGATAAATTGTGCTAATTAAAAAAATTTTTAATCGCATAATATTTTTAGAGATTAATAGGAAGAAGAAAGCAATGCAAACGTTCACACAGGACAATATATTGAAACAAATAAGCGAAAAATTACGTCAGTTTACATTGACGTTGCCAACTCCACTGATAGCTGACGAAATCCATAATTTTCTAATGACGATTAGCGCGCAGCTTCATACATTGCCAGACATCCGCAAGCGGCGTATGATGTTTCAGATACATGAGATGTTATATAATGAGCTATTGCAATAAATATTTTAACATTTTAATACAAAATTAAACATTTTAATATATATTTTAATACATGTATATTTTATTTAAAAAGCAATACATTATCAAAATTCATCGATTCGACTGCCACGGTACAGCACCTTCATTATTGAAATAATTGCAGAAGTCATCTCTAATTCGAATGGCTTCTCGAGTACTCGTATTTGTACCACATTTGGTAATGTCGACAAAATCACAACTGTCTTCTGTTTCTCCATCAGACATGATGGTACAGAACAGTCCTGTTCAATTTTATATCTTCGAAGCCAGTTATGTAAGCAGATCGTAGGACTATCTTCATGGCAGTTCCCATACTAGTTATAATTGGCTTTCTATAAAATCTTCATGTATTTGCCAGAATACCAAAGGCATTCTCGATGAGCCTTCTAGCACGACTCAGTCGATAATTGAATACATGCTGTTCAGTGCTCAACTTCTTTTTGCCCGACGAGTAAGGCCGGAGCAAGTAAGTCTTCAGTGGGAATGCTTCATCACCAACGAGATAATACGACAATAATGGTCCTCCATCAGAGATATACTCTGCTGCTGGAACGTTCATTTGGCCTGCCTCGAATTTTTGTCCAAAGAGACTTTCCTTAAAAATACCTCAGTCATTACGTCGATCGTATGCACCGATATCCACGAAGCGAAATTGGCAGTGAGCATCACAAATGGCCATCACATAATATTATAAGTATTCTTATAGTTAAAAAAATTTGATCCAGTATTATCTGGATATTGAAAATAAAAAAACATTGATATCAAAATACGCACAAACACCAAGGAAAGAATATATAAGAGTGATGTCATAAAAATATACTATACCTGAATCGTAATATGCTTCCCATCAATTGCTCCGATGCAGTTTGGAAAATCCCGTAAGTCTTTGAAATCTTCTGCGATAATGCGCCATTTCCGTTCATCTAGGCTAGGCAGATGGACTACTGAACACAGTTCTTCCCAGATCACTGTACACGTCTCAGCTACGATATTGATCACTGTCGTTAAACCTATCAGGTATTGATAGGTCATTGATGGAATTTCCTGATGCAAGATATCTGAAACATTTATATAAGACGCAGAATAGCATCGTTATAACAAATTACATTTGAACATTGAAGTTCGGATTTGAATATTTGACAAATATTTCACCTCAAAATTACACTCAGACGTTCTGCTGCAGATATGGGCTTCCGCACAATATACATTTTCTGCAATCGGGGTCCTACAATCACCAACAAATCCTCGAATTGCGATGCGGACATCTGGAAGTAATTGTTGAGCCTCAAATCTTCCAGTCGCAGCGTTAGAAGCAGTGCGTTGTAAAAACCATGCTCCAAGCGTTTTTGAAGCAGGGGAGAAAACCCAGTAACGCTTTTTTAAATTTCTCTTCTTTTTCGTTACTGCAACTGCAAGTGTTCCAAGTAATACTATGTTACGTCGTGCATATTCCTCGTTGTAACAGATTATCACATTAAGACACTGCAACAACCACGCGTAATTTTTAGCGTTCATTTTAGTACTTCTTATTTTTCACACGAGTGGTACAATTAATTCAACAAGTAATTTTATTACATGCGATTATTCATGAAATATTTTTTATTTCACTGAATTATAACTATTATTTTAGAGAGAGTGCGATGATACGGTCGCGCGCAATGGTATCGCGCGTGCGTAACACGATATCGCAGAGAAAGGAATGATAGAGAGAATAAATAATTTTGAATACAGAGTTAATTCAGGTTATTCCATATTTATTTATTTATTATATTTTTACATATATATTATTACATTTTAATATCTCCTCCGCTCCAATACGAATACGATGTCGTCATCGTCATCCGGATCTCTCTTCCGCTCGAATATAATTGTAATGTCATGTGAATCAGTTGCAGCAGCAATTCTTCTTTTTCGCCCCAATCTTCTACGAATCCTAGTTGCATCCTCCTCCATGTCGGGCCTTCTCTATTAATTCGTCAAGCACCTCGCCTAACTGCGATGACGTCCGCAGTGCCATGGCTGGAATAGAAGAATAAAAATATAAAATAATAATTTTAATTAATAGAACACAATATCACATGAAACATGGGTATCACAGGTGAGAGTCGTGGTACGTCGTTCAGGTCAAACGTAAACATTGATTATGGCACGTGCTATCGGAACTTAAATCATGGGGCAAGGGGTTAATTAATTAATTAATGTATTAAGAATAAAATACTTACATTTGTTCTAACAACAGATTGTCAGCGTCGATATCCAAATTTACAGTAAGGTCGCCAAGTGTCTCGATTGTAAAAGCACTTCGCAAAATTCTCAGTGGTTTAGCTAAGACCTCGGTTTTTTGCGCTAATAAGCGCATGCAGGCATCCATCACATTTGCACACTGAATCAGTTGTTAATATTTGCCATTATAAAAATTTCGCATAGATTGACGAGTAGACCGAATGACACACTCGACAAGCAAACTGATTTGACCGTAAGGGCTGTGCAAGATTTTATATTGTAAAGTTATTCGTGGAACATGATACCATTCCGAGAAAAGAACAATGTCTTGATCAAAATTTATACCAGCCGAAAAGTATATCACGCGATCGAATGATCTCATGAATAAATTTCAGCATTTTTATCAGATATAATTAGATCAATGCGTTATATCAGCAGGCAAAAGTACAACGCCCCGGTCAAAAGTTTATACCTCAGCCGAAAAACATATTATATCATATATTTGAACAATTCCACGAATAAACTTCAGCATTTATCAGTTGCAATTAGATCATCAGTTATTAGATTTTCATAATCAATATATCAGCGGCAAAAAGTACAATGCCTCGAATAAAAGCGTATGCCTCAGCCAAAAGTATACGAGAAGAGGTCGCGCTCGAAAGATTTCACTTCAGCATTTTGTCGCTTGTAGCGCTTTGCATTGAAGCGCATTAAATATCTATTGAATAGCTATCGAACTAATATTTAATAGCTATCAGACTAATATTTAATAGCTATAAACAACTATCAGATTGATATCACTGTTATCGGTCCATTTTCAACTCTATCTGCTATATATATATATATATATATTTACATGTCTATTGGTTAGGGTAGCAGAAATAAAAACATATTAATGCGAGATAATATACATTATTTAAAAATCTCACAATTCTTCCTGACATTACAACCAGTTAAATAATTACATTTTGCAAAGCACAATTCTTTGCATTTTCCACATCGTATAGCATTACAATCATCCAAATTAGTTAAAGATTCCATGTTTTCGTAAACTGCATCCAAGGTCTCGATATATATGCATTCTCGCTCATCGTTCAGAAGCAAGTTCCACAGCCACGTTCGTTTCTCACGTCCCTTGACGTACATGATCATCTTCAAATACCGCAAACGTGACGTTTCGCATCATTGTATGAGACAATCCCGTCCTCCCATCGCAATCCATGGTGAGCACTCAACCAGGAAGCGCAAGACCTGTCGAATCTTATTAAAAATTTCCATGGCACGGGACTCGTAAAAATATAATGTGTGAGAACAGTCCCCTGTTTCAGCATCGCTACTTCTTTGACGATAAATTTTTTGTTAACGACGAATCCTTGCAGATCCACAAATGACCATAACGAGCAATTCTTCAAGACTATGCTTCACCCCAGTTTTTCTCTTTCTTTTAAAATTCTAACTTGCTGACCTTGCAATTTACATAATCTTGCACGCCATGTTGGACAACGGACAGTAGTCAATTACACGATCGTATATGATGAGGCAATAGGCGGTAATATTGGCGGGCACATTCTCCTTGCAGTCAAATTTTAGGTGTACGTAACCTGGGTCCACATAATCTTGGTGATAATCTTGACGGATTCGTTTTGTTGCGAGCAATCAATGACCGCAAAAGGCCTTTCCGCGATAAACGAGAGCACGTTGAGTAGCGTTTCGAAGCAGTTGATTCCATAATATACTTCACAAAAACGCACGTACATATATCAAACAAGACAGCGTATCTCTTTTTGCTAAAATCCAGATTTAAATCATCGTATGGATAAAATTCTGAATTTAGATATACGAAGGCAAATCAATAAGTATCCGTGGTACTTATTGACAGGTTTCAAGACAGGCGACATTGCTGATGCAACAACTTGCATGCCAACGCATTACCATCGTGTACTACCATCTTTTAAACGACACCATACAAAATTTCAGAGTGATTCATGCAATAGTCTTGATTTGACAGCAATTCGTAGTGAACGTGTTTGATGTTTTCTAATATGGAAAAAGAACAATATCGAACCGAGATTCGTTTCTTATTTTTGGATGGGAAAACATGCGAAGAAATAAAAATGAAGTTGGATGCCGTCTATGGGAACTCTTCATCATCTATGACAACCATCAGATATTGGTTCAACGAATTCAAACGTGGTCGTTCGTCTGTTTTTGATGAGGAGCGCCCAGGCCGCCAGGCCAGCAGACGTGATTACTAAGGAAATCATTGAAAAAGTCCACGACATGATTCTCGCTGATCGCCGAACGAAACTGCATGAAGGAGTAGAAGCCGTAGGCGTGTATACAGAACGGCATTTAATATTTTGCATGATAACTTGGGAATGAAAAAGCTGTCGGCCCGATGGGTGCCGTGATTGCTCACGGTGGACAACAAACGGATGCGGTTATCAATTTCAAAGCATTGGTCGAATTGCGCTACGAATTGCTGCCGCATCCATCATACTCTCCGGATTTAGCCCCCTGTGACTTTTTCTTGTTTTCAAACTTGAAAAAATGGCTCGGTAAAAAGAAATTCACGATGAATGAAGAGGTCATCGTCGAAACAGAGGCCTATTTTGCAGAGTTCGACAAATCGTATTTTTCTGAGGGGTTAAAAAAATGGCAGAAGCGTTAGGAAAAATGTATCCTTCT